CTTCCGGTTCCGGTTTACTACTTCCGGTTTGGTTTCGGACCGGAAGTTTGATACCGTAATTCCGTTTCCGGTCGAGGTCCTGTTTCCGGGCAGTGCATATCCACATCCGTGTTCCCCATTTYGCCCCTTTGCGTATGCAATGTATATGCCCGCATCCGTGTTCCCATTTTGCCCCTTTGCGTATGCACCAGATTKGTWGSGCATCCCGCCGYCGCTGCAGAAAAATTGCATTCAATTTGGTRCCAAAATCTCAGATTTCTACCAGGCGACCAGGAGCATGCAGCAAGCAGCCGCCGAATTCAAGCGAATATAAAAATGCTTATAACTTTTAAATTACTGGTCGTAGAGAAAAAATAAAAATGCAGAAATATGCAGAAACACATGGAGCATATTTTTATTAAAGAAAATATAAATTTGGATTTACCCAGGAATTTAGAAAAATAAAAAATGCGCCTCAAATCGCCCTTTTTTGAAGAAAAAATCGTCAAAAAGATTATTTCTCCTAAGTGAAGGTGTTAAATTGGGATGTAGGTGGAGGATCGAGTATCTCTCTATTTATTCCTAGTCCAAAATTTTAAATTCGAACATTTTGTCCATAAACGATTAGTTTTATTTGATTTACAGTTGGTTGAAAGTTACTCAGTAAAATTTTGTCTAAACTCATATTACAAAATATTTACTGATCACTAGTTTGTCTGTTGACTATACAAAATCCCTTATCAATCTCATCAACTCTCCCACAGATGCGCTACACGCAAAAGGTTTCAATGTGGCCCGTCGGCTTGGTTACAAAGTTTGGCGTGAGTACGCCAATCATACGTGATGGCAAGATAACAGGTTTCTACGATGGTTGGATAGGCGGACGTAAGTTCCCCGTTGATATGGCCGGTTTTGCGGTGAGTGTGAAATTTTTACATGAACGACCCAATGCGAAAATGCCCTTCAAAGCGGGCTATGAAGAGGATGGCTTCCTGAAGAGTTTAGCGCCACTGAATCTCACGGATATCGAGCTGTTGGCCTCCAATTGCACAGAGGTATAGTCATACTTGTATTGTGTTTGTTATATTTTATAAATTAAAGTTGAAATTTGTTTCGCAGATCTTAACGTGGCATACGCAAACGAAGAAGAACGCCAATGCATCGCCGTTGAATCTGACATTACATGGCGATACGAATTTAGTGTCCTTAAATAAATTCTTAGTGCGTACGTAAAATGTATGGAATGTACAAAATTGTGTTGATTTGCTAATGCCTCAATGGCGTGCCGCAAATGTGCTGTGGCGTGAATCCTTAACCAAAGCTTAGTTAAACAAATGCAGACTCTGTATAGAAGCGTCAACTAATTTTCTGCAAATAACTGCGCAAAACGATTTTATTTTTGAAAACGGAATTTTGACTGTGTCGCTACTTGTCTACTATATATCTATATGCATACATTTAAGTTTTATTTATAAAGCGTGATTTTAATGAATAGAATGAGCACAAAAGGCATACAACTTGTATAATAATTAGTTAGGAGCTTACAATTTGTACAGTTATCCTGTTTCATATAATACTATTTTTACCAAAGCATATTAAGTCACAAATTATAAATAAGTTGCTGCATAATATATGTATACGTGTATCTAGCTGTAATCCTTACAGCGAAATGTCAAATGCATAAGGCGCTTTATTAAATATCTTATTTTGTTAAGTTTAGTTATTATAATTTATGTTTAGTTGAATATTTTAAGTGATAATACTGCTGTGTCGGGTAAATTTACTATTTACTACTATATGTGACTATTGTCGCATACATATATTTGATTTACGCTTAGTTTTGTAAGATACTCAATAATATTGTCCATAAGCTCAAATTCCAAAATATTTGTTAAATAAACCAATATTGTCAAAAGAATTTACTGAAGTTTTTGGCTTACTTTAAACAAACAAAAACAGAAATATTTGTAAGTTATATTCCTTCTTACGTAAGTCTAAGTATTTTAGTTTAAAAAACTTGTATTGCTCTAAAGAAAATATGTATAACTTCCAAATAAAAAGGTAAAAAAATTATAATAATAAATTCATAATGCTAAAATTTAGAAATTTTAATTTATATATATTTTTTATACTATTTTAATTCGACTAATTTAGCAGATTTTCGCATCGAATTGTAAAACTATTATTCACAAGTCAACTGAGCCTAATTTTCATTAGAAAAATCAATTTTCGTTCAATAATGGAAAAGAAATTGCAAATACTTGTATAAAAAAAGTGTTATTAAAACATAAACGATTCGAAGTTTTTGATGCAAAATTAACTCATTACAACAGTTTACAGTAATTTTGCGTTTTGAAAATTGACTTCGGATTTCTCACTTTTAAAATTTACACTAGTTTACAGTCATTTTGCCTCTATGATGTTAGAGGCTATTTCTTGCTAACTTTGGGTTGCTAACACCGAGCTTTTGTTAAAATTTTTCAACACGTACAGCTACTTTGTCATTTTGATTGTATTCAAACAAAACAGCACCATTTAATAAAATGATAGAAATATTTGTACGTGTTGGAACTCAAATTCGTAATCAGGACTCCTCAAATACTCCACAGGCCTCTTATCACACCAGTCGTCTCAAACAAGTTTTCTTAAGATTTGAGAAGAGATTTCTGTTACAAAATTGTGCTCAATGTGTATTAGTCCATACAAATGTCATGCTGCAAGAAAGCAGACCTATATCGCATCACATACATATTTATATACTAATTACAATGTAGATTGTAATTTCTTGATTACAAATATATATATATATATATATAAATATGAGAAAAGGCCAGCGAAATGCAAGAGAAGACGTCCACATAAATTCCAAGTAGCAACACAACATGAGAAAACCAAAGCAGTTTTATTAAAAAGGCGAGCGATCCATAGTTAGCTGTCAAGCAACAAAACGCAAAAGAATAAGTATTAAAAATGAAAACAAAAAATAAAAAAATATAGTTTCCAAATAATGAATCACACATTAAGTTATGAATATAACAAATAATGAATATACCAAATTAAATTAAAAACTTTAAACTTGAAGCGAATATGCCTGCTAAGCAAGTGAATATGTGCTTTTAAATAAAATGAATGGACGATACATCAAATAGCTAGATTTGTGAAAAAATGTATTAAATACATACATCAACTTTCATAGAGGATAAAGGAAAATATACTTTTTTTTTATAAAATATTAAATGGTACATAATTCTATCAGGAGATCTGTTTACTATAAAGCAATGAAACGAATCAATGTACATTTTTTGTAACTCATAAAATGATACAAAATTGATTCTCCGGTATACGGTTTTTAAAACAAAACTTCAGAGGCGCCCGTAGCCAAGCAGACTATAGTTTACCACTAAAAATTTGTTATGTTTTACTAGGAATTCAGAGGCAAAGAAATTTTAATAAAAGTATGCCATATTTTCATTTCCTCGTCTTAAAGCACAAAGTAGAGTCAAGGCGCCTAAAAGTGCACTGTATGTTTACATCTTCAAAATAATTTCAAAATAGTTAAATACCCATGAAAATACCTAGCTATATTATCATGATATAATTTGTCATTTACAGTACTTTATCTCAAAGTTAAATTGAAGCGCCTAAAAGCAGACTATATATTAACTATTTTGAAAAGAAAAGAAATATAAATGCAAACTTTGAAAACCCAAAAGCAGACTCTACATATGTTAACTATTTTCAAAATAAATTCACAAGCAAAGAAATACAAATAATACCTAAAAGATTCCTAAATCTATACTATGATTTTCTTTGATATTTCTTATTAAACCACAAAGTTGATGTCGTTGCGCCTCAAAACAGTCTATACATATGTTGCTTTTAAGTGATTTGATTTGATAATTTAATTTGATCAAAGCTAGTCAGCCTATAACTATACTATACTTTTAAAATGAGTATAGAGCGAAATTTGTCAACTCCATAGAGCGGTAAACTTATAATACAATTATAGCTTTTTTCGACAAATAAAAATACAGTTAGCACACTATTTCCATATTTCCATCAGGTAAAAGCAATATTTCTCAACTCAACAACTGCACGATTAATGAGCATACAAAATTTATTATTTCAAATAAATGTAACAGAAAATAAGGTAGCTTTTTATAGCTAAAACCGATTTTTGAATTCACCAACAAATAAAGCTTATAAATCATACAGTACGAGGTACTTACAAAAACAATCATAATGTAGTTATAACAGACGATTTACAAATAGTGTTTCAGCAAATAATAAACACAAAATATAAACATACTTATACAAGCAGGATATAGAAGTATAGATAGATGAAGAGTTTCCAAAATTTTCAAGATGAATTTAAAATTATTTAGCTATTACTAAGATAAATACTGTAATTTATACTTAACTCTATAAAAGCTAAACATTTTAAATTATAAAAGGGATATACAGCGCTTATTATAGCCAAATATTTTTAAGAAAGTCCGAAAAGGTTTGAAAAAGTTTTAATTTGCGAAAAATGTAACACTTTTAGCACGAAAAGTTATTATTTAAAAACTAAAGTTTTAAAACTTATAAATTTATCAAAATTTTTCTTCTATAAAATTGTATAAAAATTACTTTGTTATCTGTCGCCAAGTTTTACGAAAACTTTAGAAAAAACTTTAGCAAAAACACTAAATTTTGCTTTAAATAACTAATAAATTTCACATTAATAAATTTAAAAAAATTAAAAATAGTTTCGTGCACAATTTTCATAACTAAACTGTTATTTTTAATTGCAAATTAAAACTTGTATTTTTAATTTTTTTCCCTAACCTCTTCAATACTATTATGAATCACTTTTACTACAACGGAAATACGAATATAAAATAGAACTACAAATTATATAACTCCACGAGCTCTTAAAATGACCTTCAACATTTTCTAAGTATTTATTAGTAGATAATTCAAATTTCTTACACCAAAACACATACAAAATGACTTACGATTTAATACATGACGGTATGGTATATAAATACGTATATATACGAGTACATAAATAAAAACCGAGTACACATTTAGCTAGAATTTCGAAAATTTGTTGTATAAACTCAGTTAAATATACATCAGTAAGTATTATAGAATTATATATATAACTCTGGTACTGAGAGCCAAGCCCGAAATACCGATACTGCATTAATATAGAAAATGCAAAAAATTAAAAATATTGTGAAAATATTAAAAAAATATATGTAATTAAAAAGTTTTTGTAAATATATATACCACTTACAATATAAAATACAGATGGGAGAAGAAAGATATGAGAACCGAAGATTTTGAATAAAACGTATGATGATAAAAAAATACAAATTAGTATTTTATTTGAAAGTAGTTGAATATAAGGCTCACTTAGTGTCGTTTCTCAATGAAAAAAATTTACTTTTTTAGCCTGTGACACTAAAGACCGTAATTGCTTAAATAAATGCCTAAGCTTTGAAAGTACTGTGAAATTAAAGAAGTTACCCTGTTTTGGCGACCAATTCAAATCTGACTGTACTTAGGCAAATCCCAAAGTGTTGTGGTCTGTTAGTTATTCTAGCGACGACCTAGCAAACAAATGATGATCTTAAACATATTGCAAATCCAAGCGAGACCTTGACCAATATGGTTTCTTTATGACTCCCATATGGTGTTAAAATGTTAAAGAGCATTTTTAAATATTACCCAACTTTCAGGCTTCCATTTACATTTGTATGCCCTTAAGTATCAGTCAATTGAAACATTTTACTCAACAGTAAAAATTCAGACCATAAGCTAGTCAGCGACAAATTTTTATTTATTTATAGTACAAGCAAAGCTTCAAGCGCACATTTTTCCATAGAAATATATTTATTTGCATATTTGAAAGCCATCAACGCAGAAGGATATTTTACCTATTTGTTGATTTCGCCTTATGTAAATACATTTTGCGGCTTGGAAAAAAAAAACGAAATAAATAACACATTGAAAAGACAAGCTGCAGTTTCACGCACTTCACTGCATTCCAAACGATTTATGAAATCGACAAACCATAACTGTTACATTTCTCCACCTCACTGGCAACGCGCGAACTGTAGCTTTTGCTTGGGCATGTGCAGTACACCACACCCACTTTATGGTGTGGTGCAAAACAGATAACTGAGCATGGATGGCTGCACATTGAAGCGTATGTGCGCCTCCTCCCACTTGGTGTGTATTAAACGTTGCAACGGTGTGTTCATTGTCAATTCCTCGCGTACCAGCAGGTCTGTATTGTCACCACCACTACCACCACCGGCTTCATCATCTCTGCGTCCACCGCCCGCTGTCATTGTCTCGGTAGTCGCCTGTCGTTCCAACATGCCAGTCGCCTGTTCGTTATACACACGATTGTCGATAGTCATGAAAACATTGTGGCCAGAGCAACTGTAATAATTCAAATCGAACCGCGACTCAGCGTGATAATTTCGCAAAAGTTCCGGATTTCGATTGAACGCCACGCCATAATGGCCGCAGCAGCTGGTAATCCAAATTGGATAGTTGGGTGTTTTGAGTCGCGAACCGGGTTGGCGTGAAGTAACCACGGAGGGCTATTCGACATTTAAAATGCAATGTTATATTTACAAGCATATTTTTTTTTTTAAATATAAATATATATTTTTTTCTAAAATATTATTTTTAGCAAGAATATACGAAAAGCTTAAGACCTTACTTGTGTACTATCATTATCCCAAAGCAAAAGTCCGATAGTGCAGCGACTTAGTATACCATACTGCGGAATGGCCTAAAATATAGAATAATTAGATTACATAGAAATAACGGTCTTAAAGCAGTATTATTAAAGAAACTTTTGTTAAAACTAGGGTCGAAGTGTTTTAAGTATGATTTTGAAATAATAATAATAAAAGGTAAACATTTCAGAAACGATTAATGCTATAGAATCCATTATAGCATTAATCGTTTCGTCACACTGCTATTAGAATTTTCCCTAAAAATTGGGTCAGATCATTAAGTCTTACTATAAGGCATGTTTGAAAATGCATGATGAATATGGTACTCGAAATCGTACATTAGGGAGATCGGATTCAGATGAAATATATACTAAGGATTAAAATTATGTAAAAACCGTAGGTCGCTCTGCGCCCAGGCCACTTCAATTTAGAAGCTACAATATTATTGGTCGTTCTTAATTTCCGCTGCCATTTCGAATAGTCGTTCAGCTTAGAGCACTTAAGTGTATAAATTTATTGAAGAAAATGCATACCGTAGCAAAACAAAGTAAGTGCTTATAAAATATAAAAATAATTATTTTATGCTATATTTATGCAGTAATGTGCCTTTTAATGGCAAATTATTGCACATTTACTTAACGGTATATACATGTGCATGTGTGCATATATAAGCTTTCCAAAGCATCTAAAAAATTTTAGTTGCCATTGTATTAATTAAGATCCTTTTAACTGCCAACAGATGGCAATATAATTTTTAACAGAATATTTCTTTGAATGCCTCTTCTAATTTGCGTCTTCATTAATTCTTAGAAGTTTTTTAACTCAATGAAAAAAATTAAATTGTAAGACTTGTTAGAAATTTACTTCTCTGTAAAAAATATATATTTTTTTCACCTACTGCATTGCATGCCTTTGAAATATACTCACATAAGTGTTTTCATCGCCGACATTTACAACACCATTGTGCAAATAAGGTGTAGCGCGACCAGTTAAAAGTAGAGTCACTATCATCAAGGAGCCTTCTTCATTGTTCGTCATTGTTAGTGGTACTGCCTTACTGTTCGAGTCGAGATCGTTGCGAATTCTAAAATAAAATATAAAAAATATGAAATAGTGCATGCATGCTAAATAAATGTATAGGATTTTCAGTATATCCTACGTTAACTACTAAATACGATTTGATTAAATTAATGTTCACAAATGTGTCAATTTCAGGTGAATTCTTCGTGAAATTTTATACAAAAAAAAATTATTATTTTCCGCTAAAGATTTATAATTTACTTACTTTGTCATCGAGCGTGTCAGAACAGCGCTATACAGAAACAGTAATGTGCCAGGTGAGTCCTCTTCAGTGAACTAATATAAAGAGATTTCTTTATTTTTCCCACAAAATATAATTATTTATATTTTACCAGTTTCAAATGACGTTTTATAAAGTATTCCAGCTCATCATGTGGTGATAATGTGAAAATATATAACTTAAAAATATTTATTAGATATGTTTATAGCATACATACATATGTATGTATATCTTTTAATTTTATTGAACTAATCCCAACTTGCATTAACTACCCTACTTACCTTCTCAGTAATTGAATCATGAAAGAAAGTCACACTATGCTCCACGAAAACCTCCTCATCTGGCGATGGCAGTACCATTGTCACCTTGCCCTTATCCGATATGATGCGCAGAATTTCGACCAATGCATTTATCAGTGCATTTGTCTGCATCTCTTGCGTGCATATTAGAGGGCTGTAGACAGGTTTTATAACAATATTTCAAACTAATAATCAAATAAGGTTTATATATTTATACTCCTGATTGTTGCGTCCACGTCGCCCGAAGAGCAAGTACTTCAAAATGAAACCCTGCACTACAGAAAGTAATCCACGTGTAGCATTACGCGGTGAGCGTAGTCCATAAGATAGCTCTTCTTTTGGCGCACCGAAAGTGAAAGGGGTTTGTGTCCACTCAGCACGCATGGGAATAGATGAAGTGCCGAAGACTAATTGACGTAGGTCCTTAAGCATTGTTGGAAACAGTAAAGGAGTCAGGCGTTGAGAAATAAAATAAATAAACGTTTTAAAAAATTGGAAAATTAATTAAATAAAATTACATTTTCTAAAATATTAAAATAATTATTTAAAAAACAATGTTACAATTTTTGAGTTTTCAATTATTCTACTAAATTGTAAGATATTTCTTACTAATAAATTAAAAAATATTACTAAATTATTTTAAACAGTAACTAAATTAATTTAAAAATAATAATAGTTTTTTAGTTTCCTTTATTTTTCTAAATTGTTCGAAATATGTTATACAATTTCTCTAAAGTATTAAAAAAAATTAATTACATTATTACATACAAAATTTTTGAGTTTTCAATTATTTTATTAATTGTGGGAAAACTGATTATTTATATTTTATTACGAAGGTATGGTTTTAAGAAGACAAATTTTCAGCGCTTTTTTCCATGGCTCCTTTAAACAAATTTCTTTTTTTTTTAATATTTATATATTTTTTTTATATTTTTATTAACTAGAGTGTGTCAGACAGATTTTTTTAATAAAATATATGGTAGATATTTAGAAAAAAATTTATAGTTCTTGAAATTTGTATATTTTAAAATATTCAAAACTTATTATAATTTACCGTTGCCAGTTCCGGTGTGATTGGCGTACCACCCTCGGCTATAAAACGTGAGCTCATTTCGTATTATATTATGTAAGACTTTTATTAATCAATTATAAATATGATTTGTGATAAATTAGATTTTATTTTAACAAAATTTTCGCACTATAAATTTTGTAATAATATTATAATAGTTTTGTAAAATTAATTTTTATATTTCTCTCGAGTTATTTTTTATTTTTGTGTTTAGTAATAATATTTTAATTTGAACACTAAACAACGTTATTCAATATAAATACTATTTTCTCAATTTGTTAAATATTTTCGTACACCCGAAATAACCGTTTAAACCGTTCCGCAGTTCAAAGCGCAATGATTTTAAATCCGCACGCTCCAAAGGGCTTACATCAAAATCCTTTCGGCATTTTACTTACGCACACTTTTCAATAAATTTTAATTTCAAATGTCATGAGCGCACATATACATAAACGTACACATACATTTCAAACAAACATTACTAAATACTTCCATAGGCCTCAGCCATCAAAGCGTAAATGGCCTTAAAAATATGTATGTTTGATTTCCACATGCAACTGCTTATTTAACACCTACTAAGCATAGTTTTTGTAGTATGTAAACTCCAAAAATATATAAGTGGGCGTTAGCTTTCATACGACATAATATTTGCACGCCTTTTTGCACACTTCAAAAAGTGAAATCGCTTCTCTCATTTACTCTCGCTGCCAAAAAAAGGAGTACTGCCGTACCGCATGGCGGCTGCCTGCCAGTCATTCAAAATTTAAGTGAAATTGAAATTCACTTCACACTTATCCTCGAAAAAAGTAATGCAGCTGTGTGTGTAAGTGCATGATGCCACGTTGCTGCACGTTTATAGTAGCAAAACAAAGTTCGAAGTTAAAGTGAAATGGTGGCAGGCCGCCGTTTTGCAGGAAATGCAGTTGACAGCAGGATTTCCATTTAGAACCTCCGTCAGCTAACAATTTTTGTGCACATACACACACAAAGTATGTAACTGCGCGCAGCCCGAATGAGTACTTATGCATTAGTATTCCACAGCAGTGCACTCGTCCTTACCGTCATACAAATGTTGGTGTGGATATGCTTACAGGCAAAGGTTGCATGTCAGCGTGCAAGTTCGTCTGTAGTTAGGACAAATTTAAATGTACTTATCACCATATAATTACCTCTTTTGCACTTAGCTACGAAATTCTATTTAAATTGCTGCTTTTCTGCGCTCGCCAAATATTTGTGCATACATATACATGCTCGTACTTCTGGGTATCAGCTGTGGGTGTCGCAGCTGATTGAACTTCAAGTTCAGCCAATATTTTATATATATTGGATTTGTATTATATGCACTGTGTTTCGCACTTGAGCTCTCATTTCACATATGTAAGTACTCGTACATATTTACAAATTCGTGTTGCAATTTCTTTTTCACATATTTTTTGTATCAGCTCAATAAATTTTAGCATATTGCTAGTAAATCATATGAGGAGATATCATCAATCAATAGCTGCAATATACTGCAATGAGTTATATGTGTGTGATTTTTGTGCTATTTACTATTTACATGTATTTTCGTAATTTACCTGCACCTATTAGAGAGTGTGTATGTACAAAACCAATTGGTATAGCCACATATTATAATGTAAATATATAATAAATATTAATCTGTTTCTGAAGGTTCTCGCCAATATTTTAAATATCGATGGCTCTTTAAAAAAGTAAATCTATATAGTTACTTTTACTAGTGCTAGTTCGTGTAAATAGACAAATGGACATCGATAAATTCACTCAGCTCGTAATACCAATAATTTATAAGGTCTGTGAGGGTTCCTTTTGGATATCACAAAAATCATGGCAAACTTAATGTACCCTGTTCAGGGTATAAAAATCTCTCATTCATAGTAGGAATTTATACTGTAAGTATTTTTTCCGAATTTGATTGCATTTTATCAGAAACTGGCAAACCTTTTGGTACTATTTCTGGAAAGTAAACGATTTTTAAAATTACTTTTATAACTACAAAAGAAAAGCTTTATATGAACTTGGGGTCAAATTATTATCTTTCATTATTTTTAACAATGGCCTTGGCTGAGTTCACAAATACATGCGTGGCACTTGTCACTGAGAAAAATTTGACGATGCTATTAAGATCCAAAAATATTGTTGCATGCATTTGTTTTATCAAAAAAATTTAATTTTCGATCACAAATTCTAGCATATTTAGTCTTTTCCTATGGAATGGTATTAAGGTAGCACAAAAAGTTGCAGAGTAACTTAATATTATATTTGTTAAAGTAAGACTAAAACTGTGAGAATTTTTCAGTATGCATGTGTACTTTGCACAGAAAATCATTTTGTGAAATAGTAATTAATCGGAGTTATCACCTATTAAATTTATTTTTGTTAACAAAAAAGGACGTAACTTCGGCTACACGATTTTTGCCGCTCAAGTTTATATGACAGCTATATGCTACAGTTTTCGTGAACAATTTGTTGACAGATTGTACCTTATCCTTAAGAAATAATCCTTACTAAATTTCGTGAAGAACAGTTACCGTTGTTACAGATAATTATGTATGATAATTATTGTATGGCAAATATAGCATACAGGTGTACATGGTCCGATATCTGCTGTTCCGACAAATAAGCAACTTCTTAGAAGGAAAACCATGTAACGCAAAATTTCAGTTCAATATCTCGAAAACTGAGAGACTTGTTTTCATATATACAAACAGTCAGCCGGTCTTACATACATAAATCGACTCAGGTCGTCTACGAATATTTCCTCTGGGTATTACAAACTTCGCGGTGAGCTTAATAAACCCTGTTCAGTGTATAATTGCAGAACTAACTTTAAATTTGTTGGACAACGCATTACTAAAATTTCCATGAACAAATTTTATTACTCATACGCCATGGTGCTCACTTTTTTCATATAAACAGTAATACAAAAAATTCTTTCTATGCTTTAGAAACTGAGTCACAAGTTTATTTTATTTTTATTTAAAAAAACATATTTTATTCATAATAAACGATTACATACAAGTATACACGGTAACAAATATTTTGAAGCAAATAATT